TCATATTTTCTCTGCGGATTCGGGGAGATCTCGACAAGCCCCCCCCCCCCCCCCCCCCAAAACCCATGAAAAAAAAATTCGCACTTTCATATTTTCTCTGCGGATTCGGGGAGATCTCGACAAGCGCAGTCCAACCCCATCAAAAAATAATAATAATAATAATTTTTCGACCCGGTTTTGGGCCCAACCGGAATTCCGGTCCGGTCCGGTCCAACCAACCGGACCGGCTGGGACCGGTCCGGTCCAACCGGCCGGTGGTCGGTGCAGCCCTGATTTCATTTCAGCCCTTTCATTTCTTAAGTGCAACCTGGGGGTAGGATGGTTGGCTCTTTCGTCTCCTAAGTGCAACCTAGGGCCAGATTGGAAGGTTCTTTCCTTTACTGCTATTTTTCTTTTGTTAATCCAGTTGTGTCTTTGTTCAGGAATAGCATGTGAGATTGACAGGAGAAAGGGACACTGGACCCGGTTTCCAGTATGAGCCTAATCTGGGTAATGGTCCCAGTCTTCCGGGTTGAGATGTGGAGGGATTCCCAGCCTCCTTTTGCTCTATATATAAAGAAGCATGCTATTTTAAAAAAAAAAAAAAGAAAAAAAAAAAAAGAGTAAAGTAAAATTCGTCACTCAAGTTGGAATTCAGTAAAAAATTACTAAAAAAGGAAAGAATTTGTTTTGGAAAGAGGGGTGGTGGGGAGTCTGGGGACTGCTTGAGGATGCACTTCCGATCTGGCGGCTCTTGGGGAGCTGAAGAGGCAGTTGGAGTCCAATGGGGAAGAGGGGGGTTGACTTCTCGACCTCGATGTCGGTTTACCTTGAGCCGAAGTCGAGTATCGGTAATCTTTGATCTGTAAATCTATCTGGGACATGTCGCAGAGAACAGGGCTCCCCATGTCACTGAGAAAGCTGCTTCAGACCGTAAGACCATCAAAGGGGTGAGACCCCTTGTCCCAGTCTGGTACAGGAGGAAATTCGGTGAGTGGCAGGTAGCTACCGATGTGTCATAGACCATCCCAACACTGGGAGATCAACGAGCTCTGGCCAGAAGCATCAGGGAAGGAATCTCAAAAGAATTCCCGGCAGGAGTGTATGGAGTACCGTCGACCCCGGTAGACATGGCAGAAGGAACAGGCCAGAACCCCGTTTCAGCCACAAGGTTTTTGAGCCAATCATAATAAAGCTGGACGAGAAAGCCAGGCTACACGACGGACTGGTATGGAGAGCATGGAACACCGTGACAGCCCTGCCCTACAGCACACTTGTGGGCAAAATGTGCCCTGCAGAGGTCATGGCTGATTACCTGGCCTCCATCATCAGATCCCAGATCCCGACGATGACGACTACGGACACGACAACAGGATCTCCCCGGAAGGAGAAGGAACTGGTACCCCGTCGATACCTGAGGGTAGCGTGGGGGCATACACCCTGAACTCCGCATCAGGGAGAGAGACCAGCGAGGACAGCAGGAACAGCGGAGACGCAGAGGTGGGCTGCCCCAAAACCTCTGCGGCGGCAGACTAGACCTCTCAACTTCCCTAACTAGATTATTATGCATTACCAACACAAACTGGAAAAAAAAAAAAAGGGTAAAGTAAGAAGAAGGAAATAAAAGAGATTTTCTGGTTCAAACCAAAACGAGAGACAGAAAAACCCAAAACACAGGGACCCGGGCAATAAGAGTCGATACAGCACAACAGAGCACAAGATGGGACAGTCAGAACAGACTGGCAGACAAAGGGGCTGACAATCTATAGCTGGAATGTCAACGACCTAGGCAACATACTATCCAAAGAAGAGAAACTTCGAGATATTCGGATATGGTTGACCAAAGAAAAGAAGCCCAAACCGGACATCATCCTTTTCCAAGATTTGCCTGGGGCTATGTACTGGTGGTTTAAGGAGGAGGATTGACTGCTGGTAGAAGAGGAGGAGAAACACAAGCATTGAATCCATTAATTATAATCTGGAGTTATTCTTTCTCCTCTTACTATTCCTCTTCATTTGCTGTATATTTGCAAGTTGTCACTCATTGGGTGCTGTCAGAGCTTGTGTGGTGATGACGATGGTATGAGCTGCAGGCGCCAGGTTCATTTCAGAAAAGATAAAGCCTGGTATAAGGATTAAGGAAGTGAAGGAGCGATAAACAGGAATTACAGCTGTTAGTCAGATTCATTTGAAAGGGCACAGTAATCAGTGTCAGTTTGTTTATAAAAAAAGGCAAAGGATTGAAGAAGTAGAACATGAAGGAACCAGAAACACGAAGGAGACACGGCTGACCAGTCAACAAACCTGCAAGTCTCGAGGGATTCTACGACTTCATCGAGATCTGGTATCCTTCATACTAGCTGACTGACAGGAGTTTAAACCACCAGTATGTTTCCCCGCTTGGAAATCAAATACCCGCCGGTATATTCGGGAGCAAGTGGGGATCGGCACTACCGGACCGAAATGGCTGGTGGCGCCAGCCAAAATGAGGCCCCCGCCGGTTCGTTTCTTTTTGGCGTGCAGGGTGATTTAGGCTCGGCATCGATGGCTGAGAAAGGTACTGGTGGTTTAAGAATGAAGCAAGGGTTACTTGACAGTCAATTACAAGGAATACGAGCACTAGCGATAGAACAGAAATCCAAGTTGCGAAAATCACGTAGTAGCTCAGATAGTCATGAACCAAGCAGAGAGTGAAATGCACCAAGACACCGTCCAAATAAGAGCAATACAATGAACTCGAATGTCAATGTTGCCACTCTCTGGTCACACCAACGCTGTATCCAATGTCGCACTTACTGTCTGGCGCCCAGCACCCAGCCTATCTAGTCCTATCTACGTTCTTGCAACTGGATCACTCTGACGTCGTAGACCAATGCACGTGACGTCAACACCAATGCCGATCACCAGCATACACCAGGTATGTTCTCTCTCCTCTCGTCATCACCCCTCGTCTCCCCACAGCATGCGCCTCCTACCCGAAGACCACCTTCGCCATCACCTGCCTTGCGCCTTTGCAGCCCGGCTATGGCAGGTGTGCGCCCGCTGCCCTTGCAGCACCCCTCACCTTTGCGCCCGTGCACGCGTCCGACCAGCAGGCCCATGAAGATGCTAGTGCAGCAACGCAGCAGGGTGTCCGCATTGCCTGCCAAGGCCAGAATGTCCCTGCCAGGGGCTCACACTTTCCTTCATGGAAAGTGTGTCGCTGCTGGCTGTCCTGGCCAGGCGTGTGGGGGGCCCAGTAGCTTCAGTGGGGCCCCAAGTGTCTGCGCCCAGGCCCAGTTTCCAAAACTGAACTGGGCCTGTCCGTGGGTGCCAGCTTGCCTCATCCTGGGGTCGGTGCCTGCTTGTCAGGCACACCCTCTCATTAGGACTTAGAGGCTAGTCAAAGATTGCTTGAGCCAGGCGTCCGAAGCTCCCGTACGACCAGGCTTGTTCGATTCCGCTTCCACCAGGCTCGGTCATGGATAGCCTTGGTGCCTGTCACTGCTGTCAGTCCAAGTTGCCCTCGATACTGGTAGGGTAATGGTCATGGGTGCTGGTCACACTGAGGTAGGATAGTAGCGATAGGGGGTGCGCTAGGAGTATTGACGCGAGGATGGGATGGGAGGTGGCCTCGTCTTCTCAGGACAACCATGGGTGACCGCTCCCAGTATCACTGTGGGCCTAGTAACTGGCCTCTACAGCACCCTGGACTTTTTTTTTTTTTTAAGTCAAAACATTTGAACCATACATGCAAGCCCACCTCGTGCGGGCAGTTCCCGAACGTGCGGCGCATGCGCCCAACCGATCCCGTGTGCGCACGACCTGTGCGAGGAACGACCCGTCACCCCCCTCTGAAAAAAAAAAGAAGGCCGGGGGTCGAAACGGTGCGTTCGAGACCCCCCGCCAAAATTATAAGCGGGTCCGGGATATGAATTTTTTTTTTTGCAGGAGTGCTGCCTCACCTTGCTCCTCCTCCCCTTCCTCCTCCATACCTCCTCCTCCCTTCTCCTTTTCGTTTCCTCCTTTTCGTCCTCCTCCTGCCCTCCATGTCTCCTCCTCCTGTTCGTCCTCCTCCTGCCCTTCCTCATCCTCCTTGTCTCCTCCTCCTCCTCCTCGTACTTCGCCATCTTCCATGCCTCCTCGTCTCCTTACCTTCCTCATGTCCTCCCCTTCCTCTCCGTCCATGTCTCCTCCTCCTCCCACTCGTCCTCCTCCCGCCCTTCCTCTTTCCCTCCATCCATCTCTCCTCCTCCCCCATCTTTGCTCCTCCTCCTCGTCGTCTTCCTCCTCGGCCACATCCTCCTCCTCCTCTCCATGTCCCCCTCTACTCGCCATATCCCCAGCTTCCTGTCATACGCCCCCCCCCATCCCC